GGATTGAGTCTGTGTCAGTTTGTTCTGTTTCTTCATGTCATTCCAGACAGACTGATGATGAAGAGATCAGATCTCTGTGTGGAGCACTGGCTGTTGTCAGACAAAAATCTCACTGGATTATTACAATTAATGGCTAAATGAATGTTTGGAAATGTAAACTGATATTTCCTGCTGACACACTACAGCAAAAGAGAGAAATAACTGACTTAAAACCATTTTTTTAGCTGGTGAAAATCCTATAGTGTTCTAATCATTTTGGCCACCACTGTAGATTTAGCCAAAAAATGTTTTAAGTCAAGTTGTCTAGGCCCTGTTTAATGTTGTAATTTTAAACGATTAATTAATTAAAATAATAATGATATCAAATAAATAATTAAATATTCTATTTTTCCTTTGGCTGAATAGTTTTGACTTTCATAATTGCTTTACAGCTTAAATTTGGCTGAAAACACAACTTAATTTCTTTAAAAGAAAAAAATGTACTGACCCCAAACTGTTTATAGTACATTTTTTATTATTATTTTAATTCATGCAACAATGTTGAAATGTAGTAGTAGATGTAATAATTAGCATTAACCTAGATTCTGAAAGCATTAACAATGGGGAAAAAACCTACTTAATCTCTAAATTGTATATATTTTCACAATACAAACTTTCTCAATTAAGTTAAGAAATCCTTTTGCAAGTTTTTCCCCCCTAAAGGGTTTAAAAAAAAAAAAAAAAACTTAAAAGGAAAAATTACTCATGCTTGCATTAAAATGGTAAAACAAACCCTGAGCTTCCAGAACTGCAGATTTACCCATTACAGATTGATGTAGAATTAAGACGCACCAAGAACGACCCAGATTAACCTGTCAAAGAAAAACATTTAACATTTGAACCAAAATGAATAATTCTCACATCCTTTGCATTTGAGTTGTATGAATACTGCACTCTAATCGAATCGAATTGATATTTAAATATGAAGCATACGTTTAGCACTGCTTATGTAACTGGCGTCAACATTTGTCCCTTTTATTTGAAGCCGTATTGCAAAAAGTTGATTGTAAATTGAATTATGTGCATGCTATTTCGCTCTTTGCGGCTTAGAGAGAAAACTATACATTCAAGTCTGCTGTTGTGTATTGGTTTAAGATGACAGGGGTGTGTATTATTTAGGAACATTTCTATGTTATGATTTCACGTTCATTACACATATTGTCCTGTTTCTAAAGAGCAATTCATATGCAGTATTTTGCTTTGAGGAAACAGGCTTGTGTATATATGTGCAGGACAGACAGTGTGTGTGTGTGTGTGTGTGTGTGTGTCTGTGTCAGGTAGGTGGTTGAATCAGTGATTAGACAGTAGGGACGGTAGTAAGGGGGGAGCGTGGAGGATTATGAACTCGGAGGTGCTGACACATCTCTGCCTCTCAGAGCTCTCAATTTAGTCAAGGATCAGACTCACTTTAGATAGTGGAGGATTAATGATCAGTCTAGCGTGACATTTTTATGAGGGTAACCTTTCCACTCGTCAGGCACTGAAGGGTCTCGTACTACATCCACATCTCCAACTGCCAGTAGAAGGAATTTTACTGCAACTAATTGAACTGATTGTGCAAATTATAAGACAAATAACTCTGAAGAGAAAATAATAATTCAAGGTAGCTATTTAAAAGTGTGTGTAAGCATGCAGTCAGGGCAGATGTTTTAGTTTGACACTAATTTAGTTTGACACTAATTAAAATAACAGATTGAAGTTTATGATTCTAGTCTAATTTTACATTTGAATTGTTTTACGTTTTTTATTTTTAAGTTTTGTCCAATGTGTTTTTAATGTAATTTTAATGATCCACATCAAGTTACAAGCTGCAGTTACTGTTATTATTAAACTATAATAAAGTAATATATGGGTGATTCTATAATTGGAGATACATTTGGCATTGCAGAAAGTTAAGAAAAAAACTTTTCACTAACAGATTTTTTTTCAGTATTTTATTGAAAACAAATTTCATTTGAATAATTCAGTGCTTGCCAAACACAAGTTACTTCCTTTTTTTACTTTTAATGAAAAAACATGTCTTTATGGCATTGTTTGTCAACTCTGTTATGGACAAATTAGACAATGTGTAGAAATAACAATAAATCATAACAGGAAAACTCCTTCTTGTTTCATTAGACAAACAGTCCTTACATTCCATCACTTGAAACTGAGATAATATTTCACCTATGCATACCTTAAAAATGTAAAAAATACCTGTCTTCACAGAACCGTCCACTTGGAGCAAATATTTTTCATCTGAAAATGTATTATCTACAATATCCAGTTAAAAAAAGAAAAATAGTGTTACAAAAATAAATCAATAACGTTTATTAGGATTTTAAACAACAAATGTATTGTTTTTTGTGAAAATAGTTCATAAACAGAGTTGACCCTTTAAGTAACAGAATTGTAAAGTAACAGAATTGTAAATTGTCCGATGGACTGTCAATTCTGTTACCGCATTGTCAGCATTGTTACTCTACCTTGGTAACAGAGTTGGACAGTAACAGAATTGACAATTTTCTTTATTTTTTTTGACAAAAACTCCACTTGCTAGCATAAATGCTAAGAGCACATGGCACTAATGAAATCATGATTAAAAGACTTTTAAATAACACAAAGTGTGATCAATGAAAAAAATCTGTTTTCCTTTTGATATTGTGGTAACAGATTTGACACTTTATAAAATAACTCGGTGTAACTTTTAGATTAAAATATTTTCTTAGAGAGAGCACATAGACTTTTCAGTGCTTCAGATCTTAACAGTGAGGGAAAGTGACATCATTTCCTGTATCTTACATAGTTGTGGGAGATAATTCCACTCATTTAAAGACAAAGTATGGTACGGTAACAGAGTTGACGCAAGATTTACGGACACACATTTTTATAAGAAAAAGTTATTTAAAAAAAATATTAATAATGTTGTAGAATTAGGTAAATGACTCTTTAGGGCTTTTATAAAAAAAATTTATGAAATATTACAAAAAGAAAAGTACAATAAAATATTTTGATTACACAATTATACATGATGGAAAAAATGAAATCATGATTTTCAGCTATTTAAAACACTTTTTGCTAAATATATTATATTGTTTTGGACTGTAACATCTTGTAATTCATAACAATGAGTAACACAGTATTAAAATAATTACAAATATAACCATTTGAAAAAATCAGAAAAAAATAATGACTTCGGACACCAAATGTACCTGCAATTATAGAATCACTCGCATGTGATTATATGCCAGTTTTTTTTCTTTTTCTTTTGATAATGGTAATAGTAACAGTTCAAATAACACTTTTTGTAAGGGTATGTTTATAGTAAAGAAATCATTCATCATAATAGTAGGCAGAGTTTACACATCACTAGATTATAATGGGATTAACGCCTACCTCACATCTACAACCCCAAGAAACATGGTTAGGCTGACAAAAAAAAAGAAACAAATAAAACACGATTACCATATTAACTAGCCTACAGTTCGTTAACAGTGAGACTCTGGTAACTTATTAGCTTTTGTCCTCAGAAAGTAAGAAAGAAGAGATGAATGAGTGAAAAAGTATTTGAAAGCTTATACAGTGTTTAATAGAGACCCCATATTTATTTACTATCATTTTGCACGATACAAAAGAACTGCAGTAACTATGGTAATTTGTCGGAAACTACGGTTACTATGGTAATTTGTTTTACAGGCACTACAACAAATCCCGCCCAACCAGGAAGTGAAATCCAGCACTATCCTGAGTCCAGGAAGTGTTGCCAATTTAGCAATTTTGTTGCTAAATTTAGCAACTTTTCAGACTACATTAGCAACTTTTTCTTCCAAAACACCTAGCAACAAATGCAGCTATTTTTTAATTTTTAGCAACTTTTGATAAGCGTCTCAAACAATAAAAAGGCACACGTTTTCCATCTAAATTTCACAAAAAGAGGAAACCAAAGATGCCTAGCAGTACACACATCACGTGAATTAAGTTACTGCTATTTGCAATTGTTCAATTTGATAATAATAATAATAATTTAATAATTGTTCATTTATGATACACCTTGTTAGTAGCTTGTACCTGTGATTGTTGATCAGTTAGTACACTGTAAGAAAAATATCTAGAAAAATGGAAAAGGTACCAGTAATTTTCCAGGACATTATCCGTTATCCATCATCCGTTGTACCCCGAAACACAAAATACAATGCGTAATTTAAAATGCAGGTAAAAACCTGTGAATTGTTTTCTTAGAGTGTAGCATACTGACTACTAATACACTGCTTAAAACTATAATTGTTCAGAATGTGTAGTTTTACTAGTTTACTAGCTAATGAAAAAAACTTGTAATCGTTCAAAAATGTGTAAGTGTTCAGTAATTCAATGTTGTATATAAAAATGGTTATTTATATTTTATCATTATATTATTTTACGAACAAATCTAAATTAACATGTAAAAATATATATTTTTTGAATGTAGTGACACAATTTTGCGTCGTGATTACGTAATGACGTCATCACGCAATGACATCACAACGTCATTTAGCAACTTTTAGCAACAAATCGACCATCCTTTAGCAACTTCCCCTGAAAATTAGTTGGCAACACTGAGTCCAGACGGAAAAGGTTAAAAGATCAACAGTGCAGATGTAGCCTAAATGCAGATAGTGAGATGTTGTCTCGAAGACTAAAACGAGTACTGGTGCGATATTTATAACGTTCATATTGGTGCAAACGCCGTTGTTAAGAGCAACATTTGCAATGCTATCGATATAATTGCTGCCACAGGGATAGCGGGTAACTTAAACGATAACGTTGTTATTTTAAAACCTTACCTCGATAATACAGCTTCCGTTTATTGGTGGTGTACATCCAAGAATAAACATGTATTTACAGGAATATTTTGAGGACGCGCCGTTTGCAAACTAGGCGTGCGAAAAGAATGGGTCTCTATGGAAGGCCAAAAGGGCCAAAAACACGTCTCGAGACGCGTTGAATAAACGTGTAACACGCATGAAATTTCAAACAACTAACACTAACTTAGAAGACGCCTGGAATGTCGTCGGAGAAGTTGACGGTGGCGTGTGTTTTGGCGGTGTATGTCGCCTCTGCTCCGCGCGCTGTGCCTGGTGGAGACTCGGGTAGGACTGCAGTCAGTCACATGTGTTTGTGTTTATATCACATGCAGCCTATCACAGAACAACATGTTGTAATATCACATACACAGCATGACATGAAGCTTTTGCAAATATGAACTGCATGAGACCTGTTGAGATTGTTATTAATCTTTCTAAACACCTGTCTAAATCCAGCACCGCCAGTGGAACCCAAAAAAATGATTTGGAACTCAAGTCACACCTGAAACATACAATATGAATCATATAACAACATATTAGACCAAGTGATGTTTATTTTAAAGTAGGATAGCTTCAGCTAAACTTTTTGTTATACAATAAATATTGGACATTTTCTGGTTGTGAAATGTACTTAAAAGTTGCTTTTGAGAAAAGATGTAATTTACAGATGCCATTTTTATTATTATATTTTGGAATTATTCGCTGCAGACATTAAAAATGGTCTGTGTGAACAAATGGGAAGGTTATTTACTGCTGGGTCAGACTAAAAGAGTGTCAGTCCCTCTCAAAGCTGTCAAGAGAACAGAAATACTAATCTCTGTGGAATGACGTCAGCTCGTTAATCAGGAGAGCGAGAGAAATACTGTACATGATGATATTAATGCACTGCAGAATTGGAGAAAACATGAAGCGGTCTGCGTTCGTGTCAGATGTAATGAATCATTTATAATGAAAGATTTTAATTGTTTAGGCAGCTTTTTTTATCATTTAGCAGTTTGTGGTTAATTATTATACTAAGATTTGTTTTTTTTCTGTTTTGTTAGTCCTCCAATCCTCCCATGTCATTTCTTGAAGGAACAGTTATTTAATGCTTTTAATTTGTTATGAGCAATCCCATTAATGCAAAGGTAAAGTTACTCTTGCAGACATAGCACTACTACTGTTTTCCCCACAGAATTAAGTTAAAAAATAACAATGGGGATACAACTCTCCTAATATCATAATGAAGATTATAATACTTTAATTAAACGTGTCATTTTTTTAATAAAGAAGGCTTTATAAGAAGGTTTTTCAACATTTTCTAACATTGCATGGTTTCATATTTTACTATTATTTCTTAATAAAATGCTTGACTGACTGCATTAATATGTGAAAAACCTTTTCTCCCGAAATCATGTGGTGCAACCAAATTGCAGAAACATGCAAAAAAAGAAAGAAAAAGGCTGTAAATGATAGCATAAAAAGGATTCCTGCAGACCCTCGTGTTTGTGTAACAAGTCTCTTAAAAGATCAGATAAACATATCATAATTTGATATTTTAATGATTTTAAGGCATGGTTCAGGTTGTAAAATCTTCTGTGGCTCCCCAAAATCTTAATAATTCATTAATAAGTTAATTCTTAACTTATAAAGTTAATAATTCATTATACTTATTAAAAATAAGTTTTTCCCTTGAACTTTATAAACAGATAATATTGTTTACAAATGTTTTAAAGGTATAAAACCTTTTAAAAACCACATGAACGTAACATACATACAAAGTGCATTTGTAAGAACTTGGCACATGTGTTTTAAACTAGATTTTTTATAAGGCTTTAGTTTTTTTTAGTTGTGTACTCTTATTGACCCATAGACGCATTGCTGCACAATGTTTTTAAAAAAGGTGCCCATAAACAGCCATATTCAATAATGGGGAGACAAAAATAAATGTTTTCTTCTGGGGGAGGGGGTGGGTGTGCAAACAACAAGCTGCTGTTCTGTGAGCTTTACAGCATGTGCATGGGCAGGGTGGCTTTTGGAGGCTTTTAGGGGAATGGGGGGGCTGCAAGAAGCTGTTTGGGGCTTACGGAGAGAGAAAAAAACCCAGCCAACCCCTTAAGCATGGCGTTTAGGGACATTGCAGGATGCCGGCGTGATAGTGCCAGCTGAATGCTCGGCAGAAATTCTCCAGGTCTCCGTCTCGCAGTCCTAATCCCTTTAGGTGTGCTGCGCCCCGGAGAGGCTGAGCGGGCCCCGGCGGGACCGCTGTTGTCTAGGAATGCGAGTGTGGAAATGATGGGGATTATGGGGGGAAAAAGGCGGCTGTGGGTGCCCGATGCTGTGCAATCACAGAGACACTTCACTGTCCTGCGCTCAACTCCGTTTGCGCCACTTTCCCCGTTTAGCCCTCCTTCTTTGGGACCAGGCTCTGTATTGGGGTCTAGAGACAGCACTGCAGTGTGTGAATGAAATTGGGATGTATAACATGAGAAATTTTGATTACAGGGAGATCCACATGCTTTGAAATGCGGTAGACCTGGCCTCACCACGTGTGTATCTATTTCTATTCTAAATGAGAGTGTGAAAGCAGAGAAAATTCAACCGCTGAAGTGTGAGGGGTCTGCACCTACAGATAGAGGACTTCCAACATGACAACGAAAACAGACGACCGCTAGTGATACGCAGGAAGTGCCAGCTAACAATTTCAAAATGTTGTGATGCACTGAACATTTCATATTGCATCAGAGAGCACAGATTATAGGATTTTACAGTGTTTAGGCAAGTATTGCATCAGGCAGCATTGCTTAGATTTATACAACAGGGCAAAAACATTTGGGATTAGTAGGCGAAAGGACTTTTTGCCTATTAATCTCTGAACTGCAGTTTAAAAAAACATTTTTTTTGGTTTGTAGATTTCTAGATTTTGTACAGTCCTAAATTTTTGCCACCCTTAAAGCACTTTTTTTCCCCTCCCAAAACTCACTGATTTTTATGTATGTCCTGTAATGAGCTGGATTACCGCAGTCATAATATTTCTAGGCCTGGAAAAGGAATGGAAATGAATTCATATTTGAAGTCAACAATATACACTATCATTTAAAAGTAGATGATAAGTTTTTTTTTTTACATTTTTGGAAGAAGTCGCTTACGTTCACCGAGGCTGCATTTACTTGATTCAAAATACAGTAATTTTATGAAAGAATATTACAATTTTAAATAATAATTATTAATAATAATAATTAATTATTCTATTTTATTCTATTTTACAATTTCTGATGGTAAAGCTGATTTTCAGCATCATTATTCCAGTCTTCAGTGTCACATGATCCTTCAGAAATCATTCTAATATGCTGATTTGGTGCTCAAGAAATATTTTTTATTATTATCAATGTTGAACAATCAATGTTGTAGTTGTGCTGCTTACTACTTTTGTGGTTTGTTTGCTTACTTATTTATTAGAAAGTTCAAAAGAACAGTATTTACTTGAGATAGAAATCTTTTGTGACTTTATAAATGCTTTTTGTCACTTTGATCAATTTAATGCATTGTTGCTGAATAAAAGTTTGTTAATTAATTACATGTATCTAAATGTAATAATTTTTTTAATTATATATTTAAAATATTTATACATTTAAATTGGCTTTAAAAATTAGATTCTCAATTGGTGGGTCATAAACCAAAAAGTCAACATCCAATTGGTGTTTTGGCACCAATAGGCTACATCTGGGACTTAGTCGAAGCCATGCCAATAAATTACCATTAATTAATATAATAACACATTTAATTGCTTACTTGTATAGATATTCAATTAGAATTTTGTTGGGTCGCCACTTGATGTGAATTCTGGGTCCTTATGCCAAACCAGCCGAGGCAATATTTGGCCATATTTCATCAACCTCTGCTTGTGTGGAGTAAACTTTACTCAGAAAACAATGTGATAATGGTCTTAACGGAGACATTTAATAAGTATAATATGTAAATCAAACAGAAATACACGCCTCGATACTGTATGTATCAATAATGTCGTGAGAGGAAACACTAATGTTCTTAAAAAGATCACAGTCACTGGTAGAGTTTTAGAGGGAGCTTTTTGCATGCGTGTGGCTCGGCGTAGAGGGAGTCACAGGCGTTTATGCCTGTGTACGGCACACAGCGACGGATGGGGCTCTGTGCATGCACCTCGAGTATGGGAAGAGTGAATAGATTTGCCTCTGTATGTGTGCGTCTGTCTGCTCGGGGATCAGGGGAGCCGTGTGCGATGGAAGAGAATGAGCGTGTCGCTTAGCTAATGTCACACTGGGAAGATTTTGCAGGTTTTGATCCGAGCAAATTAATGCAAAACCCAGTGCAAGTATTTGATTTGGGAAAACTTTCAGGAGCGGACTTGTCTCTTAATAATAATTATTGGGTTTACATTAATTTCCCTCTCTGTTTTTCTACCACAGGAGAGCTGATCACTGCTGCTTGTGAGCTGGGGGTAAGCATTAGCTGCATTGTTTAATCAATCCACTCATTAACTCTTATAAGCATTAAGCAAGTTTAATTAAGTATGGGGGGAGAAGAAAGATGATTAATTTACTTTTCAGGCCACAGGTTTTTTTATCCTCTCTTCTTTTCTGTGCACTTCTTTTTTGACTAACTTAGGACTAGAGAATGCTATAATTTGCAACCCTGTTCTTCAAATCCAATTAGACTGAATGGTTAGGCGATGGCTTTTGTAAGCTTCGCCTTATGTACGGTATAAGGCTTATTATACTCAACCCCTCTCCTTTTTGTGCATGCGTGTGTGCGCGTGTGTAAGCCGCAAAGAATGAACTAAATCGGGTTAACAGTTATAATAAGTTTTATTATTTAATAAAGTTTATTACGCCGCCGCGATCCTTTTAGGGAGGCTGTGGCAGTGTCACTATGCCAGTAATCCCTCCCTCTGTCCGTGTGGCCTGCCTGTCTGCGGCTCTCCCCAGGGTCAGAGGGCTCTCTCCGGGCCACAGGCCCTCCCTTCCTGCTCCCTTGAGCCGTGGATCTTTTCTCCTTTAAACTCCTCATCGCAGGACTGCCCCCTACCATGCGTTCTGCCTTTTTCCGGCGTGCCACACGCGCTTCCAGACCCGGCGACGCCTCTGCTTGCCTTTCCACGCTGTTGGCCTCGCAGGTATTTCACCGGTGCAGGCATTTCAGCCACACGTGTCACACGTCACTTGCGCAGTCGCACGCACCTTGCTGGCACTTCCAAGTGTGCCCTTCGCGCCCCTGCCATCTGCTTGCCATACTGTCTCTCTCTTTTTTTTGTCCTGTGTCTGTCCCCCCTCCCAAGCCTCTCTGTTCCTCTCTGCCTTGACCTGTCTTGCTTGTCTTCAAGCTGTCTTTTCGTTCTGTATTATAGACATTTAGCAGTGTTTGGGGAAGCTGCTTTGCAGCTGATTGTACTCAATTATCGCTCAATTACAGTCAAGCTGCCCTTTTGAAAAAAATAGTTAAGCTAAGTGGCTACCAATGCTAGTAGACCAAGTTCCCAGGGGATCCATATGTAACTTTAATGACCCCCAAATATAACAGTCCCTTGTAAAATTTACTTTCTTTCTTGCAATTTTGAGTTAACAACTTGCAATTCTCAACTTTTTTTCTCAGGCTGCGATAACTTTTAATTTATGTCTTGCAATTTCAAGTTTACGCCTTGCAATTCAGACTTTTTTTCTCAGAAATTATGAGAAATTATGCAAATCTGGCTTTTTTTCCTCAAGTCTCAGTTTGTATCTTTTTTAAGCGATGCCTATTTCTGGGGCGAAATTGCAAAATGTTCATTCAATTTCCTTTTCATATTAAATGTAGTAAATGAAGAATAGATGTTTGGAAATATGGAAATATGTTTTATGATCCAGACCAAACCTTTTGTCTGCAAAATAGGCAGGTCACAAAGCCCAGATTGGCCATCAGGAGAACCCTGGTGGCTAAGCAACTGATTTGGCCTGCAGCCCTGCTCATTTTCATTTATTTATTTATTATTACTTGATATTATTTCACACTAGGCACCCCTTAAAAGAGATATAAACTCTAATATTCCAAATTTGTGAAAAGTAAACTCCGAATTCTGAGAAAAAATTGTCAGAATTTCAAGACATAAAGTCAGGATAGTGAGAAATAAACTCTGAATTGTGAGACAAATGTCAGAATTGCCAGATATAAACATGCAGTTCATACTTTTGTGAGATGTTGAGAAAAGCACATTTTTAAAATAAGTTTAAATGGCTATGCAACTAGTGACAACACTGCAATGAAATAATTCCCCCCCCCCCCATAAAGCTACAGTGGGGCAAATAAGTATTTGATACACTGCCGATTTTTCAAGTTTTCCCACTTACAAAGAATGGAGAGATCTGTAAATGCATGTATGTTGCAATTATATTTTGTTTCCTAAAATTCTTTTTTCATCCTAGAGGCCTTTGCAGCCCCCTAAGGGGCCACGAACCCTAATTTGTAATCCCCTGAACTAGACAATTGTAGCGAATCAGCTCATGGGGAAATATGAATAATTAACCATAACTAGTTATAATTAACTATTCATATTTTAGATCCACTGTAGATATTTAGCTGACCACTCAGGGTCAACCGTCTTGTCAATTCTAAGAACGTTAATTTCCTGGTTAAAGGAAATAACTTTCTTACTGTACAAACTTATAGAATTGTACAGTAAGAAAGTTATTTCCTTTAACCAGGAATGCATGTATGTTGCAATTATATTTTGTTTCCTAAAATTCTTTTTTCATCCTAGAGGCCTTTGCAGCCCCCTAAGGGGCCACGAACCCTAATTTGTAATCCCCTGAACTAGACAATGGATTTACTTCCTCCTGGGTTTATGTTTTTATTTGTCAATAATATATTGTTAAGTGAGTTTTTAAGTTAGTTACTTCCCGACACTGACTTATCACAGTTCACCAAACCTGACTGACAGGGACTTCAGCCTTACGAAATAGTTTGGAGGGATCAGTTGACTGGGGCCCTCTTTCCTGCTTTGATCTTGAACTCACACTAGCTTTTAGACATCCACTTGTCCACCGAGTTTCCAATCCATCCCTCAAACAACCTCTTCTCGGAGACATTTCCTGCTCTTCGCTCTAGTGTTCAACGTTTCTCAGCCTGCTGTGCCTGTGTGTGTTATCAGGCCAGTAGGAGTGAGACAGCCTTTAATAGCTCTAGTCCTTATCGCTCCTTAGGGGACTTAGTGCCTAATTGCTGGGAAGGCAAGGAGACAGGAGATCAGGCTTTACGGGAGGGGGAGGACAGTGTGATGCTGTAACCCGCAAAAGTAAGGTCTGCGTTTGGAAGCTGAACTCTATGCTGATGGGTGGTGGGAGAAAGGGGGGTTACTAGATTCTGTTGCTGTTATCAGAGTGTTCTGCGAGTGAGTTTACAGCTGTGTTTTCCCCCAGGTGGCCCATCCTCCAGGATACCCACTCTTCACCATGTTGTCCTCTCTGATGCTCTCGCTGCTGCCTCTCAGCTCTCCGGCACGCAGTATCAGTGTCCTGTGCGCCTTTGGGGCCGGGGCCAGTGGAGCCCTCTGCTTCACTGTCTGCAGGTAGGCCACTCTCAGACTGTTAAACTAAATTTATAATGGTCATTGTAAATTGTAAAGCATTCCAGGTTGACTTTATTTTATTTACTTTATTTAGCTTTTTTCATCTAATATGTTGAATGTTATTTTATATTAGTATTTTACTCATTACTTTAGTGAATATATATATATATATATATATATATACAGTGTGTACGGAAAGTATTCAGACCCCCTTAAAATTTTCACTCTTAACAATATTGCAGCCATTTGCTAAAATCATTCAAGTTAAGTTTTTTTCCTCATTAATGTACACACAGCACCCCATATTGACAGAAAAACCCGGTGTGTAAAACGGAACAGAGGCCTTCTTCTTTACCCGTGGGCCCTGTTGTTATGGTGATGGGCAGCCTTCAGACCCCGACTCCCAACAGCACAGGTACGAACCAAAAATATATATATATATATTAGGGCTGCCCCCTAATAGTTGACTAACCATTAGTCGACCATAAGAGGCTTAGTCGACCAGAATTTTATTAGTCGCTTAGTGGGGAAAAAAAATCCACAGGCGAAGTCACGCAGTCCGTGATGAACAGATCGTTAACAGCTGGTCTGTGGTAATACAGTACATCAGGCAGGACATCCAAACGCTCGCCTGTCATTCAATGTCCTCAAATATGGCTTATCATCTGAAATAATAAATAGCAACAAGTAAGTATTGTAAGTATTGGCCGCTCAATATAATGTTAACCTAGAAAAGCATGCGCTATTCAAGTGTGTGGAAGCGGACCAGTAGCACGTTCACTGCAGGACAGATGGAGAGCCGGTGCGGTCACTTGCTCTTAAAATAGTCCATCATTTTTGCCCATACAGATAAGAGTAATACATCTTTCGAATCTGTAAAGACTCTACGTTTATTGGTGTGCACTCACAATAACAACAAATCATTGCACTTTTGTAAAATAATGAAAGCAAACAGGATGCGCTTTCTGCCATCTTGGTCTGAACTTGAATGCGAAACTCTGTATACTTGCTTACAGGCATAAAAAATATAGGCTATCTATAGAGAGTGAAATGTCTACTTTCAAATGAACCAATTAAAATGGAAAACAAATATTCTCAGATTATGTAATGCACATACATACATACAGGCGCATCCACTACTGTGGAGATGACAAGTTAATTTCGCCGACTTCATCTCTTAAGCCGAAAAAAAGTAAGCACTAGTTTATCATTAAATTATTAAAATGTTAATGCAGCCTCCATACTGTTTTACCCTGACACGTTCATAATCATTACTTCTGCCGGTGTGCTGTGGCAAGCTTTGTGCGTGTGCTTGAGTACTGATAGGCTATGTAGGCAATTAAAGGCTCAGTATTATGATTTAAATGGTTTAGTAATAAATGTGCAATTAGTTGACTAATACTTAAAATGAACGACTACTAGTCGACCAGAAAAATCTTTAGTCGAGGGCAGCCCTAGTATACACACACACACACACACACATACATACATGCATTTGTGGTTTAAGGGGACTCTCCATAGGCGTAATGGTTTTTAAACTGTACAAACTGTATTTTCTATCACCCTACACCTAAACCTACCCCTTACAGAAAACTACTGGCAATTTTTGAATTTCATAAAACACTATTTTGTAAGTTTTTTAAACCTCTTGTTTTACAGGGACACAGGAAGTGTCCTCATTTACGTTGTAGTACCCATGTCATTATACACATTTGTGTCCTCATGAACCAGTACACACCCCCACACACACCCACATATATATAATATGTACATGTATATGTATATGTGTGTTTATACACATACCTGTTAAAGTTTGGGGTCAGTGAGATTTTTAAATTCTTTTAATTAGTTTTAATATTTATAGGGTGAAACATGTTATAATGCAAAATAAATGTGTGTGTGTATATATATATATATATATATATTAGGGCTGGCAGTCGATTAAAAATTTTAATCTAATTAATTACATGATGTTTGGATGAATTAATCTAATTAATCGCAAAATAAATTTGACTGTGAAAATACGCACAAAAGATTATTTAAAGCTATTTTTGTGTTAAATGAGAAAGTATCAAGTAGAAATTACAAATTGTAGCTTTAGAAATAAATCATTTATTTGATTCAACATAAAATACATAAACTATGGAACACAAAAGAAGATAATTTGAGAAAGATCTCATTATTCATTAGTCATTAACCAAAAACAGCTTTGTTACCAAATCTTCAAAATACCTCATTTTATGTTCCACAAAAGAAAGGTTTGAAACAACATGAGGGTGAGTAAATGATGACAAAATGTATTTTTTTTGGGTGAACTATCCCTTTAGTGTTTTTATTATTATTATTATTATTTATTATAGTTTTTTTTTTAATGAAATTATACTCTAAATAAGAAACTAAATCTGCCAGCAGGTGGCGGTAAATTCCTTTATGAGTCATTCATGCAAGGCTGATTCATTCAGGAATGAAGTAAACGGCTATCTTTATGAATGGGCCTTTGAATCATTGGTTCACATGATTCCTTCAAAACGTGGATTCATTCAGAAACTAAATACCGTTGTGCTGCTCAAAGACTCGCAACAATTCTGCTTTGGCTTTAAAGGTAATATATTCTTTGCAAAATTGAGCAAAAACACATAATATTGTGTTTAAAATATAACACAATATCAACTTCATATTTACTGAACTGTTGTATAAAATCACATTTAAACTTGTGATATTCAGGAATCAGGACATAAACAGCACTTGTGTGATAGGGCTACTGCTCTCCCTGCTCCTGTGATATTGCTTATAGTATGATATTTTGAAACAAAAGAGGTGCATTTTTAGATTAAGATTGGTGCTTTTTGCATCTGCATTTATGGAGTTGTTGCCCTGCATCATATTTGTTAGCAGTCAACTGTATGAAATGTAAGATGATGAACAGGTTTGGGGGCGGGGCTAGGGCGTTAAAATATTTTAATTATTTTAATTAATTAAATAATTTTCATAACTAATTAATTAAGTTAATGCATTAAACTGACAGCCTTAATATATATATATATATATATATATATATAAAGTTAAGACATGACCATTGGACAGCATAATGCTCATTGGGTCAGCGGGGTCGGAAAAAAACAGGTGGAAAAGAAAAGACACGTTAACTGCAAAAGATTGAATAATTAATGTGAAGAATTAGGTGTAAAACCATCTGGAACTATTTAGTCTCCAGCGCCACCATTTTCCAGAACTGGAGTCTGAATCCTGGAGTCTCCAGAATTACAAGGTGTCAGGTTCTCAGAGACTTTGCTTGGGTAAAAAAGTGTGTGCAATAATGTGGGTCAATGACATGACACTTTTTATTTCTTCTATGAAGAATTATTATTATTTTTTTAATTAAATAAATTTTTGGGGGGGCCTAAAAAATAAAAATGTTCTGATATCAAAATGAAGAAAAATGCTTCAATTTAAAGGGATAGTTCACCTAAAAATGAAAATTTGTCATCATTCACTCACCCTGTAATTCTAAAACACTTGTTAAATTTAGAGAATTCACTACAGTGGTGTCCATTAGACATTTTCATTGTGAAATCTCTTTGATGTTCCAAGTTAAATTAGGTAGACAGACTGTTATATAATGTGTCTCACTTCCTAGACGTAGCACTCCATTTTCTTTTGATTTGTCAATTACGGATTTTTTTTTTTAAATCTCATGGTTTTCCACATATGTTTCTACTCTGCATATGGGTAAGCCTTTGAGGATAGCTGGCATCAATAATAATCATAACTGTTGACTGAATTACAAGCTAGGAAATATTATTTTGAACTCAAGCTTTTGGTTCTTAGCATTAAAGGTGTCTTTTTGAACCCTAAAAACAAAAAATTATGACCAACAGCTGTTGATCATAAAAAACAGGAAAGTGAATTAGATGTCAATGGCGAAACACTATTTGTTTGGTATACGTACTTTCAAGTTAGACTACAAGAATAGCACAGACTAGATTTTGACTGTGATATTGTCCTTAAAAGGGGTCATGACATGAGAAATCTAATTTGCCTTGATCTTTTGGCATATAAGAGGTCTTTGTACCATTAAAACATCCTGCAAGTTTCAAACGTTCTCTTCATTATAAGCAATGCATTTATTTAATCAAGCTCCAAAAATGGCTTGTTTGGATCTGAGGTGGCATATGACATCACAGCGGCACAAACATTTGCATAAACGCTGCCTCCAGAGCAAGACATCCATGAATAGTCATCTTCTCACCATAGGCCCCGCCCACTGGCGTTCAGTCACTTAACGGCTGACACTTGATCACGCTGAATGCGAGTGTTGCGTCGCATCAAAACAAACAGAAATTCCAATAACTGCCGCTATCTTTTCTACACTGGATACAGTATACAGATGCACGTTCGCTTTTTGACAAAGTCCACGCGCTCGAGTCTGTCGTCAATAGGACAAATGGAGTGAAAGAATGTTTGCTTTGACGTATTTGGTTTAAACCACTTGTTCGCATCTTTGTACAGATATCAGAAGGTTCCCAGCGCAAGGAACAAGTGGATAGTTTATTTTTAATGGCATCCTGTATCGTGTCAGAGGATTTATTGGAGCATTTTGTTTTGTAATCGAGGCACAGTGTTATGGAGAGTTCACAAAGAAACATTTGTTGAAAGATGAAGTGGTACTAACTGTAAGTATATATTTTTAATGCTTCAGCTTTACATGTCAAATAATGTTTTTATTTGAAAATAATTACGGAATATTTCACATAAAATTGAATGTGTACTGCTTTTAAACCAAACAGTGTAATCACGCCAATGACCTCCGTTACATTTGCATTAGCACAAACTTTCCATATAGCTTAAGCTGTATTTAACCTGTAAATTTCCTTTAAACATCTCCATGCACTACAGGCCTCATATTCTACAACTCAGCATGACTAATGGCACCGTTTAAAGACGTGCAGTAATATTTCCTTAACAGATGTTTAATGAAGACGTCTAAACCCTGACCGCAACGGTGCCTATTTTTTCCCATTAATTTTTCCCCCAGATGGATTTTAAAAAAACAATTAAAGAGGTGTAAGCCATGAGTCAAACTAATCAGCTGAGGTGAATCCCAACACTACATTACAACTTTGATTTGAAGCACAAAAATATTTGAAAATCGGCCAGAAAGACAAAGGTTCAAGACTTTGTACTTTGACTGTACTGAGGGAAAGAATTACAGTCCCATGAAGCATTGTGAATGACATAATCAAATAAAAAAAAAAGCTAGAGAAATGTAAAAGTATTGATTTATATGTTGATTGTATATATATATAAAAACAATATATATTTAATTTATTTATAAAATATATATATACACATTTTTGAGAATGTAGGAAACTGGTTTGATTGCATCATTCCAGTGCTTTATAGGAGTGAGTGGACGTTCTTTGTGGTGTGATTTTATTGTCTCCATTCTCTGATTGGTGGAGATTTCCATGCAGAATTATTTTTCACCAGATGTAATTTTTAACCAGAATATCCACTGTTATATTCAAGTATTAAAAAAGCATATCTATAGACACTACGGATCCAAGGCACTTCTTCCAGTTCCAAAATGTTAAAAAGCCTTTATTCAAACATGGCTCACTCTAGAAACATTAAAAATGACTAGAACACTGCACACTGGTGCATTTCGGCCATCCAGCCTTCCTCAGAGTGTCAAGTACAAAATTAGTCACAGGTGTAGATATAATCAGTTGCTCAGTAGAAATGGGAGAAACCAAAATACTCATTACAGGGGGGACCATTATATATATTATATATATATATATATATATATATATATATATATATTATTTTTTTGTATATGTGATTATACTTTGAAATTTTTAATGATACTTTTGGTTTCTCCCATTTCTACTTAGCAACTGATTATATCTACACCTGTGACTAATTTTGTACTTGACACACTCTGAGGAAGGCTGGATGGCCGAAATGCATCAGTGTGCAGTGTTCTAGTCATTTTTAATGTTTCTAGAGTGAACCATGTTTGAATAAAGGCTTTTTAACATTTTGGATCTGGAAGAAGTGCCTTGGATCCGTAGTTTATATAGATATAATTTTGAACCCTACCAAAGAGCACCTTCTGGGACTATTAAACGGAGGTCTTTTCAGCAAGTAGTGCTCCAAGATGTTTTCTTTGAGTTATTAAAAAAACATATTTAACAAAAGTGTAGCTCCAAGGTTTCTCTTTAACGTTTAATAAGATATAGTTAAAAATCAGTACTTGAATGGAGAATGGGAACAAGAATTTTACTTCTGGAACCCGACTCATCGATACTTCATTCCTAAAACTTCAGACAATTTGGATAATTCAAATTTTTAATAATTCTAATGCTATCATTCTAGTTATGCAAATTTCTTATAATAATACATTTTTGTTAAATACTTTCATGAAATTTTAATGCAATAATTTTCTGATGAACGAATCAAATTTATCACAGTTACCACAGCATATATCAGTATTCAGTTGTTAATGAAGATATTTGAAAGACTTGACAGCAAGTACATTTTTATAGTATGGATACCACCCCCCACCCCCCAAAAAATAAACATACCATTGAACATGTTTTACCAAGGTGCATTCATGCCTAAATTCAGGTACACTTTATTTTAAGGTTATTATTACTGTGTAATTACACAAAAGTACTGACTAATATTAAGTAACAACATCTATTTACTGTAGAGTGAGGTATAAGATTAGTTATTTTTAATTATTCATCATTTACTTTTATTATTGCATTAAGAAGTAAGTACAAGTAACATGTATAGCAAGGACACTAAAATAAAATGTTACTGAAAATTTCTTATTAGAGAATTTATATATTCCTCATAGGGTTAACTGTTAAATGTTAACTGTACTAAATTAACACTAAATTACAGTGAGAGCTCTGCTTTTTATATAAGAAAGAAGTTAGATAAACATCTTTATTTTCTCTGCAATGATGTAGTCAAGCATGTTTGCACAGTTGCAGTGTTTATTTTGGAGTCACCTATCTGTTCTGAACTGAAGTACTACAGAGACACTAACACAGCAGCATCCTGCACAGCAGACAAGCCTCTGATGCTGCACGCAAGTGTCACTCTCTCGCCTTATCACTGAAGAGAGAGAGAGAGAGAAAGAGAGAGAGAGAGAGGGAAGGAGACCCAGGTGGTCCTACATGTTCTGGAATGCAGGACGTGTCACATGCCTTCCTTCAAGCAGACAGGCACTCCTAAAGAGGTTCGTGTCAAGCCCCCTCAAAGGAATAAAGACAGGAGGAGGACAGCGAGCGACTGTCAGGCCGCCCCATTGAAGCGATGACGGGGGAGGATGTGATATTTCGCCTACCTCCGGATAGCACCCCTGCTCTGACCCAGCCGCGGCCCCCCCAACCGCTGACGTGTGCTGGGGGTTAATTGGGACGCAGCAGGAGCAGAGTCAAGGGTGCGGGGGGTCTGCATCTTCACCGAGCCTCGTCTTCCTCAGCCCCATCCTCGAGTAGTAAAGAGGACTAGAGAGAAGCCAATATCACCAAGAATCCCCCCCGCCTGCTTTTGACAAGCTATTAGTCCGACTGCGCGCACACACGCGGCCTCGTCTCATACGAGACGGGAGAAGAAAAGAGAGGAAAGGCAAGTAGTGTGCAAAAAAGCAGGAGAAGAGAAAAGAGAAGTAGTCAGCAAGCGCGAGTTCCTCACACACCATCCTTCCTCCTTTCTTCCATCCGTATCCTTCTCTCCGCTCCGCTTTTTTCCTGACTTACTTTGCTTTCCCTGCGAAAGCTCCATTGTTCCCCTTCCCCTAAGTCTCATCAGCCTCTTTTGTGGCCGACTATCACAGCGGCAGGCAGAGGCGCGCTGGAAACGTCTAAATGGTATCATGGCTCGTGATTAAGCGCGCGAGCTTCGGCGGTGCCGCCGCTGCTTATGAGTCAGGTCTGATAAGGCGAGGGCCCTGCTCTCTACTCAATTTCAGATACCGTTAATGGAATCTGTCTTGTGCGATTGTAATGTGAGAGCGCCTAATTTGCCATGGAGCTTGAAGCTGTCAGCGGCGAGGGATTGCGGGGTCAGGAGGGAGCTGGCAGCCGCTTGGCCCGCGGCGTGTATCTGTGCCGCTGAATAGAGCAGCTCTCCGCCTGTCACTTAGCTGATAGGCTGATGAGGACTCTAAGCCACTCGGCACAATGAAGAGAGGGCCATACTGCCTCGCTTCCCCCCTCTACCACCCCCCTTTAATTGTCAAGCTCGCTAAAATTTTTCCAAGCCAGTGTGCTGGAGACCGGGCTGAGTTTTTTTTTTTCCCCCTCTGCAGCTCTCTCTCTCTCTTGCGTCTTCCCAACTTTTTTTATTCTCCTTGCTTTCCTTCATTTCTGTCTTCTCGGGTCTCCAACAGACAAAGCTGACCTCGCTCGTTCATCCTTTTGTCCAGCGTTTCCTTTTACCTCGCCCAGGCCATGTGTCCTATCTTATTCTTCCCAGCTGGAGTCCCGAGTCTTAAGTCAAGTCTCGAGTCTTTTGTCTCAAGTCAAAGTCAAGTCTTAAATTATATATGTATTGCAGGTGGATATGTACATTCAGAGATTTTCCCCCAATTATGAATTCACGAGTTAATAGATAAACAGAATTTGTTTTACATCCAGCTAAGATTTCTGAGCCTGTTTACCATTTGAAGTATGCAGTTGCATTATTCAGTCATGCTTTATGTGGTGAAATGTCTACATATAAACAATTTTGGAGCATTGTACAGTATTTGTTGATTTTGTATTTTTTTTTATAAAATAACAGATAAAAATTTATTTTACAGTGCCCTCGTTACATATACTTACTATGTAATAACAGCAAATTATTCATAATTACAAGCAACTAACCCTAGCCTAACCTTATAGTAAGTAATGTTATTAATTAACATTACTCAGTACTTGTTTGTCAAAGTCAAATTTATTTATTTATTTAGCACTTTTCACATATTGATTTAAAGTAGTGTTACAGAAAATCATTAAATTAATGTTTAATATCTCCATGCCTTGTCACTTTTATCAGATTAGAGTTGGAAAATAATATAGTTTATAGTTGAGATACATGCTACATATTATATAATTGCTTTACGTGAATTTACTGTATGGACACGGATAAAGTTGGACATACTTAGCTATATATCCAAACTTATATGAAAAGCTTTTATCTGCCCCCTAATCATCTGAATAGTACCATTGGTTTTGGACTCTGTACTGACACCTGTTGGTGTGGATGTATTCAACATTATTTTGCCATGATAAAATTAGGGCACCTTAAATTGAATAGCACAATGATTCTTCTGTACCTTTATTTTTATTTGTTATGTAATTACACGCATGATGCCAGAACTCATAACATCATCACTGTTAATTATTGATTTATTATTTTGGTCTTTCAAGCTTTTTTTAATGGTTACAGTTGGTCATTTGTTGATTTGCTGCTTCATATAGATTTTATTTTACATACCAGATGTCTAGCATAAGAGTGCTTACACACTAGCGTTTACGTTATGTCAAAAAAACATTGAAAAACTGTATATAGTCCATCACTGTTGTCTCCTCTGTGCTCAGGGTGGCTGGTCCCAGTCCAGGGGCCGTCCTGGCAGGTGGAGTTTTTGCTGTGTCCAGGCTGGTATGGCAGTGGTCGGTCGTGGCTGAAGTCTTTTCTCTTCACAACTTGTTTGTGGGTGTCCTTTTCTCACTCTCGGCCTGCTTCCACTGTGCAGAGAGTGTTCATCACAAGAAGAAGGTACTATAGTCCAAACCATTTGGTATTTTATTTATAGGTGATACCAATCATTGTTGGTTTAAAACTGATACATCTTGGTTGTAAGATGCATATTTCTATATATATATTTGTCTTTTGTCAGTTTGCTCTGTGGGGGGGGCGCTCTTCTGTGGGCTGAGCCTGTGTAATCAGCACACACTGGTCTTGTATGTTGTCATCATAATTCCCTGGGCCCTCCTGCACCTCTACACACATAATGTAAGTATTGATAATCACTCAGCTTTCAACACATACTTTTTCAACATTTCACAATGATGTAAATGTCATTAATACCTTTCAAAGAGCATATTCTCTGATATTATGAACTCAAATACAGCCACATCACGTAATAAATATACAGCATTACAGAGATTAGTATTCATAACCCAGTGATTTCTGAAGGTCTTCAGGTACTGGTACTTGCAATTGAAAACTCCCATATAACTGTGGTTTTGTCCAAGTGTTATGCCTATGCTGTTGTTTTGGTATTTATTAAATTTGAACACTTGGCAATGGAAGGATCTATCAATAACAAGTGACATGCATTGCCCACAGGGTTTGTCCTTCTTTGGTCTGGTGTCTTTGGGGACGTGCTTTCTGGCTGGCTTTGTGCCCTACGTCTACTTGCCCATTTCCTCCTACCTCAACAGAGCTCGCTGGAGCTGGGGAGACCAGACGTCTCTCCATGGCCTCCTCACACACCTGCTCCGAGCTGAATATGGCACCTTCAGCCTGGTACCAACAGATTCAATAGTGATTTATAATTTAAAAAACATGTTTTGAAAAATTAAATGTATGTACTCAAATGTGCGGTTATTTCCATGCTGCATTTATTTTATGAATCTAATGCACTGCATATGGAATTCTTTGGTTTCAGGCAAAGACAGATGAAAACGTGAACCTCCTAAAAATGTTATGGTGAGTGTAAGGAAATTGCAAAACAAATTAAAGGGATAGTTCATCCAAAAATGAAAATTCTGTTATTAATTAGTCACCCTCATTTCGTTCCAAACCTGCAAGAACTTCGTACATCTTTGCAACACAAATGAAGAAATTTTTGAGGAAATCCAAGAGCTTTCCGACCCTGCATAGACAGCAACGTAACTACCACATTCAGGGCCCAGAAAGGCAGTAAGGACGTTGTTAAAATAGTCTGTGTGACTTCAGTGGTTCAACCGTAATTTTATGAAGCTACGAGAATTTTTGTGTGCAAAGAAAACGAAATAACAACTTTATTCAACAATTTCTTCTCTTCTGTGTCAGACTGCGCATTCACGAGAGTACCACGACTTTGTTTAAAGAATAAATCCAGTCATTTTCAGAAGGAAAAGTAGGAATTTATGTATTTAAAAATCATTTAAAACAACAAAATAAAAACATTTGCAATTCAGCATGCAAATGCTAGAATGTTATAATTATTACCATTTAGATATTGAATGCCAGCTATTCTGTCAGTAAGGGTTGCATGGTTGTAAAATAATTGTTGATTATGTCCCTTGATACTGTAACTGCAATAATTAATTATTGTTTAATACTAAAATAATACAATTTTATATTCAAATCATTTTGTGCAAGACAACCGCACACCATATTCTGTAGCACTTTGTTTTACAGTCATGTTCTGCATGCACAGACTGTTTGTATTATAGTAATTGTAATAATTGGGTAATAACTAGGTACTAACCCAGTACCTAACCTTAACCAGTTACCTTACATTTCCATACTTTTTACGTACACTGTGAGTGCATATACTGTAAAATAAATAGCAAATATTTTTGTTTGTCTTGTTTTTGTCCAAGTGTTCTTCCACTTATATTAAGTGACAGCTTTAATAAAGACTAATGACCCTGTTAATACCTCATCCATAGTTAATTCTTGTACAGTAGATCCCCCTTCCCTCCAAAACTGCAACGCTGAACCTGATAGGAATAACAAATCTGTTGTGTTGCACTGGCTTAGAAACGATCAGTGATGTTCACAGCGTCTCTGATGACACTGGTGTAACACATCATGCGAGTCTCAGGTCGTCTCCTCAGCCCACCCTCATCAAACGTTTGGGTGTCCCCAGAGAGAGAGCTTATTTTATGTCCCGCTAGCACCAATCAGCCGTTTCCCATCACCCCCCACAGCTGCCACATAGTGTGATGGACAGGTGAGATCCAGAGAGGGGAACACAACAAGCATGTCACAGCATAAACCTGCCATAAGGAGCTCAAACGCTCTCTCTCACACACACTCGCTTTCACACGACGCTTAAATAAGCTGTCAGAGAGAGATGGGTATTAAGGCTCAGGCAGGGCACTATCTCTTTCAGCAGGGAAATTGGCCATTGACTGGGTTTGGGAGACAGATAGAGAGAAGCCTGTCACAAGACTGCACTTAATGTTGAAAAAAAAAACATTCAGACACTCACAGCACTTTCAGTTTGAGTCTCTGTCCATCACACAGACATGCACACATAGTGGATATATTGATAAGTGTGTCTGTTGTGTTTCAGGGCTCAGTGGAATCACTGTGTCAATGATCTGTCTACTCCAGTACTAGTGCTGGCACTTCTAGGCATTTTACTGTCTTTGTGGAACAGGTAAGACGTGGCTGCATGAGATCCACTGAAGTGAAGGAAAAGCACACAATCTAAAAGCCTTTCATTCATCACAGTTTAATGTAAAGAGGATACTGTAAATGTAAACACCGGATGTGTGTGGATATGTATTGTTTTTTTTGAGCTGTCAAATATGTCAATTTCTGGCTCAACTACCTGTTTGTCTGAAACCTGTTGGCAATAATCATAATTCTTGCCATTTACATTCACTTCCATTTTGCAATTTCAATTTTATTTGGGGCTGCTAGTGGCACAGATATTGAACACTTCAACTTTATTTAGACTACCATTCAAAAGTTTGACTTTGGTACAATTTTTTAAATGTTTTTGAAACAAGTCTCTTATTCTCACTAAGGCTGCATTTATTTAATCAAAAATGTAGCAAAAACAGTACTATTGCGAAATATTACTGAAGTTTAAAATAACTTTTTTTTATCATTAGCAATGTTGAAAACAGTTGTGTATTTAAATGCACAGAATTCAAAATTATATGTATTCTAATTTATAACTTAAATTTTTTTTTGTCATTTTTAAATATTTGTTTATACTTTTATTCAATTTAATGCTAATGTGAAAGTTAAAAAAAAAAGCCATTGCGCCATGTTTGAATAATATATTTAATGCTAATTTAAATGTTTTAATTTCATTCAAAAAATAAAAGAAACATTTCTGGGCCACTAAATCTGATTGGAGAGGTGGTGTTGAAATTTTGAAGCTTGAAATATTGCTGGTATTATATACTATTATATTGTAACATATATTACATATTATTCTTCCATTAACTTATTTGAACTAATCTGAATTCTTTTAAAAAAAGCTAATGCTAATTTAAAAGTTTTAATTTCTTTCAAAGTAAAAAAAATAAAATAAACATTTCTGGACCACTAAATCTGATTCGAGAGGTGGCATTGAAAGCTTGAAATTTTATATATTGCTGATATTATGTAAAATATGTTTACATATAAATTACATGTTATTCTTCCATTAACTCATTTTGTGGAAACTATTTTGACTCAATTTCGTTCTTGCAGGAAACATTATCGGCAGAGCAAAAAGCAACAATATTGTGTTTGAAATGTTAATTACTAGATATTAACTTGTTTATAGAACTATAAAGGCAATATCAGTATTACAGGCAGACACAGCCATGCTAATATTCAGTACAATAGCATTTGTGCTCGTGTGATATTACTACAACTCTCTCCTATGCATACCATCATAGTTTTGCCATCATATTGTATTTAGTAAATGTAGTTTCAATGTATTCAAATGCAATATCATCATAAAACTTTTTTAATTAATGGCATATATTTGACCCCCAGACCGCGCTGTATTTTTATCTGCTTGATTGTCACTATGGTGAGCATCTACTCCGTGTTCTTTGCCTGGAGAGCAAACCTGAATATCGAGAAGCCTCTTGGAGTGGTGAGTGATACAATTCTAACAGATATGATTCTTATATGATGTAATATATTTCAAATGGACTTCAGTGAATATAGCACATGTGTGTATGTAGGTGGAGCGCTTCTGGCTGCAGGCCGATGCTGGGGTGTGTGTTCTGGCTGGTCTGGGTCTGAGCTGGGCCGTGTGTTGGCTGAATGGGCGTCTGGGCTGGGGGACGCTGTGGAACACAGGAGCCTGGATACTCACTGCAGGCCTCATCTCACACGTGATCAGCTTAAACCACAAGTAAACCATTCACACACAGTCACACAGACTGGGAGCCAGTGGATGATATGAAACTTTTCAAACATCTTTAATTCACTTTTCAAAGTTTAAGGTCACAAAAGTCTTGAAATACCTTTGAAAAAAACTTTGAAACATGTTGCTGTTAGAAAGGCAGCAGACACTTTTATTAAAGCAGCTTCAATAGCAATAGACATATATTTATGTTTTCATACTGATTTATATGCTAACCAATATTGAACACCAACATTACATTTCATATATGAACGTGTTAAGGAGGTTTCTGTTAATTTGCTCTAGGAAATTTGTCCCCAGGTGGCCTTTTACATGAATGATGTGTGTATGTCTATGTGTGTACACTACCATTCAAAAGTTTAATCAGTAGTTTTTTTTTTTAAAGGAATTAATAATTTTGTTGAGCAAGGATTCATCAAAGAATCCTGTAAAACTTGATCATGTTTTCCCCAAAATATTAAGCAACGCTGTTGTCAACATTGATAAAAATAAGAAAACTTTACAGATGATTTATGAAGGATCATGTGACACTGAAGACTGGAGTAATGACTGCTGAAATTACTTTAACATCACAGGAAAAAATGTCATTTTTTAAATGTATTAAAATAGAAAATGCTTATTTTAAGTTTTAATAATATGTGACCCTGTACCACAAAAGCAGTCATAAGTAGCACGGGTATATTTGTAGCAATAGCCAACAATACATAATTAGGATATTAAGTAAAGATCATATTCCACAAGGATATTTTGTACATTTCCTACTGTGAATATATCAAAATGTAATTTTTGATTAGTAATATGCATTGGTACGAACTGCATTTGGACAGCTTTAAAGGCGATTTTCTCAATATTTTTTTGCACCCTCAGATTTTCAAATAGTTGTATCTCAGTCAAATATTGTCCTATCCTAACAAACCATACATCAATGGAAAGCGTATTTATTCAGCTGATGATGTATAAATCTCAATTTCACAAAATGGACCCTTATGACTGGTTTTGTGGTCCTTGGTCACATATTTCACAATAGTACTGTGTTTACTATATTTTTGGTTCAATAAATGCAGCTTATAAATAAATATGGTTAAATACAGTTCTTTTAGGAAGTAATTAACGGTAAAACATTCCTGAGCTTTTTACTGTACATCAGTTCTGGCATTAAACATTTTTAATGTTTGGCCCAAATGATGGTTCCTCAATCAATCAATCATATTTATTTATTTCTACTCAGAATTTTGAATACCATCAAAAGGCTACTGTTTGTATAACTGACAACCATAATTTTGTGCTATTTCATGCATTGCCCCTTTTGTTTTTGTGATAACGACCAGCTGACATTATCTCTTACTTGATATTAATTTTGATTTTTCTATTTTTAAACCCATTCCATTAAATTCAATACATTTCCACCTAAAATCAGTGCCGAAAATAGTTTTAATAATCCGCGGACTACAGTAGTCAAAGAAATGCAGATTGGTATTATGACCGGTCTAAATACTCATTCTTTTGCAGTGGGTCTAGCAGTGTGCATTACTGCATTAACATCACAGACCCGCTGAACCATCAGACTCTGAGTTTTTTTGTATATATTTGTGGTTGATCATCCAGACCATGGCAGTCACTCATTTCCTCCATGCTTCAGCAGCACACATCAAAGCAAAAGCTCTCTTGCACTCTTCTGCAGCTTTGACTCATTGCTTGATTACCCGTCCTGACCACGCTAGTCATGCAGATTAAAGCAGCCGAGTTCTGTGCTTGATTAGACATCCTAGCCACAGCAGTCATGTAGATTAGAGCACTGAGGTTTGGTACATCGCTGCCACAAACTGTGGCGCTTTGATCAGTGGTGAGACTGACACTCTTGTCAGCGCTCATCACACCTGTCCGAGGCTGATTACAGCCGAGAGATGTTCCACCTCGTCACTGCTCACAGAGAAACAGAGCTACTGACTGCAGAATAGCTGAAAGAACGAGAATGTCACGGATCCTTACACTTTTGTGCAAACTCTTCAAAGTAAACATCACTGCTGATGTGGTTGAAGTATTTGTGAATGAATGTGCGGGTACATTCACACACGCAGCTCATAAAACCTTTATATCACTTTCATCTGGCAAACTCAGTATCAAATGCTGTCTTTGTAAAGCTGTTACAACAGACTTTTTTCACTAAAGACTTTTACACACAGGCATTATTAACCTATTGACCTTTGGGATTTTGTAGGTGCAATAATTACTGAAATCTGGCGGTAATGATCACGTACTAGGCAAGATATCATACAAACAAACAAATTAATAAATACAAAAACTAGTTACTTGGGTTAAAACCTTATAGTTGACATGTTCACCGAAGATATTATATTTAAGATCATATTTTAAGATCACATTTTAACACTTAAACAATTTGCTTTAGTACAATGGCAATATCAAATTATTTAATTTAGGAAACAATTGGTAATTTAGTTTTCTTTGCAATATTACATTAATATGTGCAATATTTTGAAGCAATTCATATTTGAATATAATGTTACAAATAATAAGTAAATCTTTCCTATAAGATACATTTTTCCTATAAAATGATCCTATAAAACGTATTTGCAGCAGTTATTTATATATTTTTTGTATACGATTAACGTTTTTATTAATATTTGAATTAGCTTTTATTTTTAGATTTTAAGTTTTCATTGTATTTTTTAAATAGTTTTATGTGTTTATATATATATATATATATATATATATATATATATTAGTGCTGTCAAACGATTAACCGCGATTAATCGCATCCAAAATAAAAGTTTTTGTTTACATAATATATGTGTGTGTACTGTGTATATTTATTATGTATATATAAAGACACACATACTGCATATATTTTGAAAATATTTACATGTATTTATGAGTATATATTTATATTCATATAAATTATATCATATATAAATATATTTAATATGTAAACGTAACATATTTTTCTTAAATATATACATGCATACACAATATACACACATATATTATGTAAACAATAACTTATTTTGGATGCGATTAATCGTTTGACAGCACGAATATATATATATATATATATATATATAATTATAATAATTATTATTATCTTATTATATCAGTTTTAGTTTTCTTTTTATTTAGTTATTTTAGTACTTTAATCTAAACTTATTTAAATTTTTTATTTACTTTGAGTTTTTCATGTAATATATGTATATTTCAATTGATTTCAGCTTTATTTAAATGACCAAAAATGTTTTAATAGTTTTAGTTTAATGATAATAACACTTATTTGAGGTGCTTAGCATCAAAAAATGTTAAAATCCATGCTGTATATAAATATGCACAAAATTGTGGCCCTATTTAACCCCTACTCTGCAACTCAAGAAACACTGCACATCCTGTTTTCATTCTGTGTTTTAGAGAAGGTATTTTCAGTGTTTTGTCTGTGTCGACAGAGAGTGTGATCAGAGCGCTAATGACGTGGTGGACAGGTTTGCCCGTGAGGTTGTGTTGTCACTGCCGGCGAGCTCGTTGGTTCTGACTCGTGGTGATCTCTCAGGAAACACACTGCGCTACCTGCACTACTGCCAGGGTCTCCGGCCAGACCTCAGCCTAGTTGACCAGGAGGTCCGTAATCCAGCCTGACACATGTCTAATTTATTTCAGCCACAAACACGCTACTCTGTCACTGTTTCGAATTGCTTTTAAAAGCCGGCGTTTTATGATGCAGATGACGACGTATAGCTGGTATGTGGCAAAACTCCAGAAGCATTTACCTGGAGTCACGTTTCCAGGGCGCTGGTGGGATCCAATCAACACCATGGAAAAGAAAACATTCAGCATTGAGCAGTTTCTCAAGCACAATGTGCAGCAAGATACACACACACAGAGGTCTGTGTTCATATTCATATGCCCTCTTTATATATGCTACAAGTGACATTTAAATTATAATTTGTGCATATTTTTTATAGAACAATTTGCTGAATGCACTAGAGATAGATTGTCATCTGTTACCCCTTATACCACACTGCAAGAGCAAAGGAGATCAACCATCTATACTGCCTCCCTCCACCAGACGGCAGTATTTCCTTGGTAAAGCCCCCAGCCTCTGAGAGGGGGGCAATAAGCACTTCAGTCATTTCCCTGGGAAGCAGAACAGAGAGAATAAGAAATAAATACTTGAGAAAAAAAATCAGCAACCTGCTTGTTTTGTTAAGAGAGCCAGTTTCTATATCCCTGCCATGTGTATCCTGTGATTCAGGATCTATAATGGCTCTAACATAACAGACAGGCTTAAAAGCTTTTACTCAGTTCTACTCTAAAATACTCTACTTTAAAGATTTTTTTTGCTTCTTGCTGGATTATGCAGAGAATGAAAGTATATAGCCTATATAGGCAGTGTTGGGGAAAGTTACTTTTAAAAGTAATGCATTACAATATTATGTTACTTAGTTACTTTTTATGGAAAGTAATGCGTTATGTTACTTTTGCGTTACTTTTTTAATCTGGATAGGGCTTGCTTGTTTGTTTTTAAAATAAAAAAGTTCTAGTTTTGGCAAATATAAAAGCCTTTTCACACCAAACGTGAAATGAATAAGCCTCAGGCTGAAGGGAAAGTAAATTTACATCCGTACAGTAGAATGCAGAAGAAGAAATTTCAACACACTTCAGCAATAAAAAAAGACACACAAATGTTTGTCTAGAGTAATTTTTGCTTATTAGTATGATTGAACTGGATCATCGAAGGTCAGAAGCAAAGACATTGGTTAATAGAATGGGATTAAATACATAAAGGATATTTGTGTTGTTTAACATTTAATTATTGCAGGTTTGTGTCAAGTTGCGTTATTTTTATTCATTTTGAGGAATACTGAATTTTTTTTAGAACTACAGTAATATCCGATTTCTCTCAACATGGGGACAGGAGACCTGTCAATCAATAAATAAAAAATAAAAAAAGTAACTTGCGTTACTTATTTGAAAAAGTAACTGAGATATTCTCCTGTAAATTAAAAAGTAATGTGTTACTTTACTAGTTACTTGAAAAAAGTAATCTGATTACGTAACTCGCATTACTTGTAATGCGTTACCCCCAACACTGTATATAGGTAATAATTTTATTTGGTTTCCATGGGGAGTTTTTTTTAAACATGTTGTTCAGTAGCAAACAGAAGCAAAACTATCTATAGCAGCACTTTATAATAATGTTCATTTGTAACATTATAACATAACATTATTATAACACAATATATTATATGATTATATTATAACACAAGATTTATGTACCTTTAAATAATAAATATATAGGAATCTTTACTTAGTTTTCTATTTGAATGTAAAACATAATGAATGTTATTATGAAGATGTACACATTCATTTTAAACTGTACACTGATGCTCAGTCTTTCCTCTGGGTTTGTCTACAGCAGGCCAGTGTTTGCATGTATTGGCCTAACTGAGGGTGACCCCAGCTGGGAGAGGAGTTTCTCTTGTTGGCCCTGGGGCGTCTGTGAGCAGTTAGTACCTGTCAAAACCCCATTTGACCCTGATAAATGGGCCCAAAAAACACTTGACCTTTACAACTGGAGCCAGCCACATGACAGGTAGCACGATTACTTGTGTTTGTGGTTTACTTAGGAAGTGACATATTGCCTGAATACTTTTTGGTAATATGTGGAATTTAATGTTTCAAGCTGAAATGAACATTAGGCTAACAGATTTGTTATTTTCATACAAATTATGATTAGAGGGCCAAAGTATTGATATATAAAGACTTGTTTCTTGCACAATACTGTTATGACCTTAAAACACTTTTACAACAGTGCATGATTTGTAAACAAATACATTTTGATGTTTGCATCACATAACCAGCTCCATATGTACAGCATTTCTGATGCAGTAAACTTGCTTGATAGCTCACCTGGTGTAGCATTGCTCTGAATCACGATTCACGACACTCCACAAAAGAGCACTAGATAGGGTTTAGTGCAGGGGGTACATTTTTAAGCTTCATATGCACCACTGACTGGATGTTTAGTTTCTTTGAAAATTGAACACGCTATTTTGCACCAGTCACTGGACATTTTACTTTGAAAGTGCAGTGAAACATGCCTCAAGCAGCGCAGTATCATTTTGCAAACATGCACCCACAGGCATGTTTTTTTCATGACACTACTAGGCAGTTTAATAAACCCACATGACATGGAGAAAAAAATTATATCACTTATAGCACCCCTTGTGGACGTGTCACTTAAAAGTGCAGCACAATGTACCTGGATCAGTGCATTCCAGGTTTTGTAGATATCTAAGCAATGGAAATTTTCATGGTACTGTGATATATACCATGGTGCTAATTTGACAAATCTTGTATAATTTTATCTGCTGTATTTTTGTGTTTATTTGGTTTTATTTTGTGTTTGTATTATTCCACTGTTTAAACACTCTTTGTTTAGATACTGTAAGCTCAGTCTTAATTGTGCCATTTTATTTTAAGAAATTTAAGTTTGAAAATCTAAAATATCTTATTGACATACTATTACAGAATGTTCGCTTTCGACAGTAATTTGCATGGTGAATTTTTTCATGTTTTTAACAACAAAAAAATAAGATGCACAGTGAGCATCATGAAAGCGGCTCTAATGCAACATTATACACACAATCAAAGCCTAAAATCAAAGCTTACCTAAAACCTTTAACACTTTCTTTTGCTACCTTGCAAGCTCTGCTATTTCCTTAAGGAAATGCAAATCTAGTTTGTGAAATTATTTGTAGACTGAATACAGTTCCTTAAAACTTCACAGCTGATGTCTTCTATCATTTATGTTGTGTTTTAAAAAACATTTATAAACCGGTTTTAAAAAGTCTCTTTTAAAAGTTATTAATATTGTCTATTATACAAATAGTTAAAGCTATGTGGTCTTTTTTTTTATTGACAGCTGTATTGTCAAATAGTGGATACCCAGGTAGACTACCCAGCAAACTGGGATAAGAACCTGGCTCTTGCCGCAGAACGTCTGCTGCGATCAGGGGGCAGATGTCATGGTCTAAATTCCCTCCTGAGTTGCAGCATCCGCCACTTCAGCCACTACCTTCAGAGAGAACCCACCGATCCCCAGAGCAAAGCCATCCGCTCCATCACCACACATCTCAAGAAGGAGCGCGAGAAACTCAGAGACAGACAGAAGGCTTGAGACAGGAAGTGACATAAGTTGTCTGAAACAACACAGAGAGCCTTCAAAACACTGAAATCACGTACGACACTACATAGGTGCAGATAGCACAATATGGTAAGAGGGAGGGTCGTAAATATGAAGAAAGCTGTAAAGACGAAATTTAAAGACAGTGCAGGTATGACTGAAGACTGTAACTGATGTTTAATGTGTATTTTACCAACACTCAGATTAATCTCAAAGTAAATTGGACTCAAAATGCTAAAATGGACTAATCTGTCATAACATGAGTTTTATACAGAGATCTTTTATATTGTAGGATATGAGCTACTGATCCATAACCACATCATTGTAACATCAGAGTAAGCTGTTCATTTAGTTGACAGACATTATTTCATTAACAAGATGATATAGTGGTCGGTTATAAAAATCAGGGATTCATTTATATTTCCTCAACATGCTAAACTCAAACATCTACGACTCCAAGATTCAAGATAATTTCCACAGTGAAGGTAAAGGGACACAATTTTCTGAACTCTAATAGAATTTGTTGTATTTGTGAAGGTTTCTTTTGTAATAACATTTTCACACTTTGTGAATGTGAATATGCATTGAGTTGATAATCTAAGGTGTCCTTAACCACTCATTCCGCCTCTCCCCATCTCCCTTTTTTTAATAATTATCATTTGCCCCCCGCTGTCATGCATCTCTCTCTCACACTTTAGGATCACAAAGGTCGCAGATTGAGATTGAGGGGGGTGGGGGGTAAATTTGGGCACATCCATGAGAGATTAAGAATGACCCATTAATCTGGGACAGATTTGAAAATACTGCATCCTTTTCCCTGTCTCTTTTTTCTGATTTGTCTATCTCTCAAAACAGCTTTGAGTCTTCAACAGAAGAGACGTTACCCCTATAGGGAGCCCACCAACTATTGTTTGATTTTAAAATGATATATTCTGATAGAAATTTTGTTAATATAAACAATTTTGTGTTTTGTGGTCACTGGATGATCACTGTAAAATGTGGCTCCTAAGAGCAGCGAAAATCGGCTGGTTGAAGAATGGTTTCATCCTGAGTTCAGGATGTCAGCTACACCTTATCACAACATATACAGTGGGGAAAAAAAGTATTTAGTCAGCCACCAATTGTGCAAGTTCTCCCACTTAAAATCCCCTTCTCATGTACATTCATCTCTTCTTCCACTGAGCTGCTTTCTCTCCGTCCCTCCCTGTCCCTGTTTTTGCCTCTCTCTCATCTGAGGGATTGTGTGAACCCATGGAATTGCCATGACCGTGGATGCAGGCAGGGAGCCACAGCAACACTGGAATGTGGGGTGCCTGAACAGATAAGAGCTGAGAAACCCAGCCAGGCAGAGGGAGCAAAGACAAGCAAGCGAGAAGTAATAAGTACATAGGATGGTGTATATGGCACGATAGGACAGAGTTAGACAGGAAGTGCTAGAAAGAGGCGAATGGACACTGACAAGACAGAAATGAAATCGAAGCACAGGGACTTGGAGACAAAAGAGGGAAGGTAAGAGAGAGGCCCATGAATGGTAATCCTTGAGAAAGAGCCAAAGAGAGCAGTGCAGTTGCACACACACACTCATAACATGTGAAGCCAGCCTTATTCCTCTTTGCATTTCATTTACATCCCTGGCTGTATCGACCAATCGGATTGGGAGCAAAGCCCGAGGCTTAGGAGGGGAATAAAAAGACAAAAATGCCTTCGCTGCTCTCATCCCTCTCTGATAATACCCCCTCTGTTTCTCCTTTCTCCTCTGCACACCGGAGAGAAGTAGATACTGTCCGAAATGCCATAGCAGAAGCGACACCTCCGCTCCCTGTGCTTTGCCGATAGACCTCGCCAGCGGCAGGCCTAAAACGGGGGCTTTAGTTGCTGGGCCAATCTCCTCTACTTCCTCCTGCTGAGGGAGTGGAGGAAGGGATGGAGGATCACGGAGGAGAGTGGAAGGGATGGAGACACAATATGTGAAATTGGCTATAATGTGCGTGCCACATTACAGACTGGAGAAAATGAAACTTGTCCAGTGTGGAAGATCACTCTGTGTTTAGACAGAAGAGCATGCTTTTCTGAGACTGTGTCTAAAACCGAAGTCAGCTGCCTTGCTGCTAAATAAGTCAGTGACTTAACAGACACCTTATTTGTATAAAGTTATGAGGAGTATTAGGCCTGTTTGCTCCTGGAGGGCCACCTTCCTGCAGGGTTTAGCTCAAACGTGCTCTAACACACCTGCTGGAAGTTTCTGAATACCATTAACACCTTAAAAATTCCTTAACTGGCTAGTTTAGATGTGTTTGATTAGGGTTGGAGGAAGTGGCCCTTCTGGAGCAGAATGGGACATCCCTGTCCTAAGGTAACTCACAAAAGGTCTTAGAAACAGTACTGAAACTATTTGTGCCAGAAGAAAACCACTGTTAGAAATCCAGCCTGGCCCTCATCTTCTTCATGTGACCCTTCAGTTTTTGATCCACAAACAAGCCCTTAGAACTGCCAGGACATGTCATCTGCCACACCATCTCACCGTCATCCCTCCTCCTAAAGTCTGCCTTCTCCATCTCTTCATCCCTCATCCCTCTCTTTAATAAACCTCTGAACAATGGAAGGAGAAATAAGAGGGATTAGGCAGAGGCAGGGATTGTCTCCATTTCTCTGGATTGATTCTTGAACCTTTGTTTAATCCCTGGCCCTGGACCCACATAGCTGTGATTGACTGCCTTAGGTGGGTTGTTGGAAGCTGGTTGAGGAGTGAAGAGATGAAAACTCTGGCTGCTGTACTGGGGGTGACACTGAGCGGCTCATGTCTGTGGTGGTCCTAGTGTCTTTGGGAAGCCATGATAAGAGTGAGGCCATGGAGCTATTGAGGGAATAGATGGATGGATTCCACTGGCTGGAGTGCTTCTAGACAGAAGGTTGGGTCCTTTTGATGATTTAAAGGGTTAGTTCACCCAAAAATTAAAATTAGCCCATATTTTACTCACGATTAAGGCATCCTAGGTGTATATGACTTTCTTCATTCAAGCGAATCTAATCGGAGTTATATAAAAAATTGTCCTTGCTCTTCCAAGCTTTATAATGGCATGGATGGGTGTTTTTGTTCAACAGTCCAAAAGTAGTGCAATAAAGTGCATGCATCCATATTAAAACGTGCCTCACACGGCTCCAGGGGGTGAATAAAGGTAGCGAATCAATGTGTTTTTGTAAAAAAAAAAATCTGTATTTAAAATGATGTAAACGGTTTAGTGTAGCTTCCGCTAACTGTTGTGTGCACGTTCTCGAGAGACTGTCTTTTTGACGGATGCCGCCGGACGTAGGCGTAGCGCATGCGTGTGTGAGTCTCGCGAAAACCAACGTTTGTTTACAGGACTTGTTTTCTTTACAAATCCTCATTTTGTACTTCTAATTCGTGACTGGCATTTTGTTTTGTTTTCTCTCCGTCGTGCTTCCGC